TTCCCACCCTTTTTTTTTTTCCGGGCATTTTTAGATAAAAAGGGGAAAAAAAAAAAAAAAAAAAAAAAAAAAAAAAAAAGTGCTGATTTTACCATAAATGTTTTTCTAGTCAATTTTATTTGTATATCACATTTCAGCAACAAGGCAGTTCAAAGTGTTTTACACCATAAAAACATAATACAGTAACCAACTTTGAAACAAGCAATAAACATCTATCATCAAAATCATGAAGCAAATATTCATTAAATATATTGATTCATTGTTCCAGTTCTTATTAATCAAAGGCAGTTCTAGACAGTTGTTTTTTTTTTTTTTTCTTTTTTTTTTAATTAACTCTAGGTTTCGGCTGTTTTGCAGTTTTCTATAAGCTTGTCCCAGATCAGTGGAGCATAAAAACTGAATGATGATTCTCCATGTTTGATTCTAGTTCTAGTTCTAGTTCTAGTTCTAGGATTCAGAGTAGAACCGGAAGACCTGAGCGGTCTGGAAGATTGTTACAACAACAACAGATCTTTGATTCGGGTGCTGTGCTGTTCAGTGATTTATAAACTAATAAAAGTATTTAAAGTCTGTTCTCTGAGCTGCAGGGAGCCAGTGTAAGGACTTCAGAACAGTTCCACACATCTAAACTTTTTGTATAAGAAATAAAGGAATTACAAAGGAGTCTTTAAATCTCCACATTGACTTTTAGGAACTTTGTAAATAGTCCAAGTTAAAAAAAAAAAAGTTGGTAACACTTAATTTAAAGAGGTGTGCATAAGACTGTCATAAACATGAAGGAGTCTTTATGAATGTTTACAACTGTTGTCATGAAGTGTCTCGGTAAATAATGACACTTTTAATGCAAAGTTGACTCTTTTAATTGACTTTCAATGTAAGTTTTAATGCAATATTGCATAGAAATGTAATTATTTACCAAATGTTGCTAAGTTGACACTTGTAATGCACTTTCAATGCAATTTGTAAAGCTTATTTTGATTAAAAGTGTCATTATTTACCAAATGACACTTCATGACAGCAGTCATAGACATTCATAAAGACTCCTTCATGTTCGTGACTATTGCTATGTCATGTTTATGACTGTTTAACGTCAGCCTTATGCACACCCCTTCAAGTAAAGCGTTACCAAATTTTTTAATATATTTTTTTTAATATTCAGGAATTATCAGGTAATTTAAGCAAATTGTATCACGTTCTAAGAAAGGTATAAACATCTTGTTGTTTGGGCAGAAACTCCCGTTTCCTATTAACCCCCCGAAACACCCAGTCAAAAAAGAACAAAAACAAATTCCTATTAACTAAAAAAATTCCCAATTCCCATGAAAATCAAAAGCAACCCTAGGATTTTCCAACCCTCCTAGAGTGACTGAGTCGTTGCCTTTTACCTTCCTTGGTAAAATTCAGAGCCGAGTCCTGAAATCCCAATCAGAGCTCCCACTTGACTCTGCTTCTGGATATGATCAACCCTGTGCGTCTTCTTTTGCTCTCCCAGCTGAGAAAGCAGGAAACAGAACATCCGTTTTGGAAGAGACAGCACACTTTCTTTCTGTTTGTGTGTTCCCACATCAAAGCTCCAGTTTGATGTTAAATTGTCTTGAACCAGTTTTGTATGCGGGTTGCGGGCCGCAGAGGTGATGAAGCTAAAGGAAAATCACCCAGAGGGGCACAGTGGGAAGGTGTGAAAGCAGGTTGAAGAAAGGAGGGAAAACACTCGCTGTGCTTTGGATCTTGGATTTGTGATGTGACAGCGATGTGCGAGACGAGGATGTGTAGGAGAGGAACCCATATAGGAGTCGTTCCATAGAGTTGCTATGTTTTTGTTGCTGATAAGAGGAGAATCCATTCTCTATTTTTCCGTTTCTGTTTTCAGACTGCAGTCACTTTACTCCGTAGCTGCCGTGGAGCTGTTAAAAAGTGATAAATCGGTTCAAGGGGACTTTCACAAGAGGAGGAAAATTTCCCCCTTGACTGCATTGAAAGAATATACCCACACGGGAAAGAATAATGTATTTATTTTGCAGCAATTAGAGAACAAATCAGAGGAATGTGAGATTAAAGGTGGAGTAATATGGATATTTCCCTATGTATTTCCTCATTGATTATTCCAAACAGCTGAAAACCTAAAAAATATTCCATCCTCCAAGCTTTGAGGACAAAGATCTGCTAAATGCTTTTGCACACTTAGTACATTTAAAAGGAAGAGATTTTATCACAAAGGAACTGAGATATTCTCTAGATTTATGGATCTTAATACCTTTATTATGAAAGGCAGCTTTTGCATTTGCTCTCCTTCAGCCTCCTTCTCCTGTTAGGGTTTGACAAGCAAATACTCAACCTGGTTTCAGTTTCATAAGTAGAATTATCACCATAGAATCACTGTAAAAACTGTAAATATTTGTAATACAAAGGATATAAGGGCGGATGTAAAATGAACAAATAACTCTCATCTGTGTTTAGTTGTTGCATACTGATACTTAACATTGCACTTAATTAAGAACTATAATTTACCAGACTCTTAGGCCTGCATTACTGTCCAGTTCTTTAAATTTCATGGTCATTTTTCTTCCTTCCTCATAGTACTGAAGTTGTTGGTGTGCGCAGTGTTTGGATAATTGTCTCATGTCTCATTTCAAACTTAATTTAAAGTCATTTGTCTGAAGCCGCAGTGTTTGCCATTACCATCCAGAACATGATGAGTTTCTGTAAGATGAAAAATACCTCTAATAACCTTCTGTTTTTAATTATATCTCATTTTCTTTTGCCCCCTCCTGATTTGTTTTTATTTCACATATGAAACGCGGAGCGATATTTTATTGTCCGCGTGAAATCAACTCGGTGCTTTTGTGTTTTCTCTTTCCGACTTCAGCAAGCCAGGCCAGAGACCTGCTGTCTAAGATGCTGATCATCGACCCTGCTAAGCGGATATCGGTGGACGAGGCCTTACAGCACCCCTACATCAACGTGTGGTACGATCCAGCTGAGGTGGAGGCGGTGAGTAGGCGGTGTGTGTGTGTGTGTGCGCGCGTGTGTGTGTGTGTAGTTGAAACTCGGAACTGTCCATTTGTGTTTTGATCAATCACTACCCAGTTTTGCTTTTTACATGTGACACATGTGTGTTCATCTAAAGATCTTCCTGTGCTCGCCCTGCTTTTTACTTTAGCCTCCACCTCAGATTTACGACAAGCAGCTGGACGAACGAGAACACTCGATAGATGAGTGGAAAGGTAAGAACAGCCTGTTTTAACCATCACCGAAAGCTAAATGTTAACAATGCACGAGTCAAGTCAATCTGTAGGAAATGCGGGGTTTAGCAGTGCGTCGGGAAATGCCTGTGCTTTTGTTTTGCAGTCTCACAGTACACAAGCCGCCGTTTTGTCTGCCGTTTCTCAATGAAAAGTGAAGTTTCGCCACTGTTTGCATTTTACTGACTCTTCTCTTTTCGCCAGAACTAATCTACAAAGAGGTGATGAACTTTGAGGAAAGAACGAAGAATGGCGTTGTGAAGGGACAGCCTTCACCTTCAGGTACTCTCAGTGCATAAGCCTAATCGCTCTGTAAGTGAATTTACTATAACCTTAATGGAGTTTTCCCTTGTAAATAGAGATTCCCATTGTGCTGTTGACCATGTGTCTATGTCTCTTGCATCTCTGATTAAGTGTTGTTTAATATAGTGGGTGTTTTGTTTTATTTGTTTGTTTGTTTTTGGGTGTATTCGATAAATAGACTTTGAGAACGAAATCTGCTACTGTTAAATGTACCTTCTGGTACAGAAAATATCTGATAAAAAAAAAGTGTGAATGTTTGTATTTGTGCATATAAATGTGTCACGATTTAAGGTTTGGGCTGTGTGGTTTTCCTTTGCAAATTTCAGTTTTCAGCTGATATTTTAAGCGTCAGTTATTCATGAAATGAGAGCAGGTGCTGTTTGCATTTTCCACCACAGAGTGGCAGTAAAGAGTCATGTTTATAATCCAGTCACACTCCTATGCAAATTCAGAGAAACAGCTTTATCATGGTTACAGCAGCATGCTGATAAGAAAGGGTAACTAATAAAAAATGTTCATGTAATGTAAAATAAATTTCCTCAGACTATAACAAAATAAATATAAAGTATGTCCATCATTTGCATTTAGTCATTTAAACATCACCTAAATTTTGTTGTCTTTAATTCTTTCATTGCAGGAAGAGAGATATCATTTTGCATTCTTTTTTCTTTTTCTTTTTTTTTTGCTCTCTGTATCTTATTTTCTGTATTCCCCACAAGTACGCGATACCCACCCTTTTCTGTGTTTGCAGCTTGTTGTAATTAAGCAGACTTGCCGCTCCGTAGTGTCTGATGCTGAGCGTATCAGACGCAGTGCAGGAACTGCAGGCAGCACTATTTCACTGCAGCAGGAAGGTGGAGGAGCAGAAAGCACATGGTCAGAAGTTGAAAACACAATATCCTTAATACTGCTTTAAATTTGTTTTTTTGTTGTTTTTTTTTGCTGACATGGCACAAATCAGAATTATACTCAAATCACTTTCCACCTATATGTTTTCAGCGTTCTTTGTTTATAAATTGCTTTTCTCCACGTCCATTGGCATATTCCTGTTTGAAATATCCTTCTTGTCAAGAAAACATCAGTTTCTGTTTAAGGTAATAGACTCTGGAGTGCTTTCAGGTGATGAATCTGCGCCAGCATCCGTATGTGCAAAACTATAATGGTTCCAGAAGGCACAGCTCCAGTTGCTGGTTTCATATAGGTTATTAAATGATCTATGTGCTTTGAAGTAAAATCGATAAAAAAAAAAGCAGACTGAATCTTTTTTTTAAATACATAATTTAAATATTCTTTTTGTTTTTCTGAATCTACACTATATTGATCTATGCCTTTTAAGGTCTTAGTGGCCACCTTCAAGAAACTGAATATCGACTCTATCTGTATTAATTGTCAACTACAGCCAACAGAGTAGAACATTTTGTTCCATCATTGGCAGAGAAAGAAATACTATCAGGAAACTGTGTTTCTGAAATGCTGCACTTAACATGTTGTAAAACATGTTGTTTTATATATATGTGGAAAGAAACAGCTTCCCAAAGCTCACAGTTTGGTGGTGTGTCTAAAAGAAAAGCTTACCGGTTCCATATTATCAGTCGTTAATGGAAATAAATCGATTTATCTCACCCGTCGCGTCATTTCCAGCAGAGCTGCAAGTGCCGAGACGTGAACTTAGTTCCCATTTCTGAAAGTGGATCAGTCCGTGATCTCCTTAACTTCATCACTTAATCTGTGTTAATGACGAAAACGACAGAACAGCAGGTGAGACTGAAAGTCCTCTGATGAGGTCTCTGAAAGTTTGCTGCTGACTGATTCTAACTTCAACAAACGATCAATAAAAGAAAATTGGGAAACTGCTTTAATGACTTCCAAATGAACCGACATGAATTGTGCCAGCGCAGCAGAGTGTTTTATGATGGCATAAATCATGGAAACGTAGAGAGAACTATAAAAGAGCTTATTGATATCATGTGAATGATTACAACAGCTGCAGCCATTAATGGCCTTTCATTTACAACCCACACAACCCAAATCTTAATCACTCTCGTCACATCACACTCACTGTATGCTTCTGGTCGGATGCTCGGATACAATCTTTATAGACATGAATGTCATAATAACTTGGGGGTTTGGGGATTGAACTATTCTGCAATAGTGCTAAAACATAAAACTCCAGTAATCCTTAAAAACAGGAATTGGGTGCAGCATTTTTAATATAATGTGGATTTTCTCGAAATCCATGCAGGACCAGAGGCCTCTTCAAGACTTGCAAGAACTCTTCCCCCACCCACACACACACGCACACACTTGTAGCAATCAATAACCTTGTTCTGGTTGATTATTTTACCTGCATTCTCATCAATTTGCAGTTTTCCTGTCACCGAATTCAGGTGTTAAGAAAACCTATTTTGATCAGCAAACATCAGCAACTTTGCATAATTGCCTGCGGAGATATTGGAATAACTAAAGATTATGAAACAGCTCTCTGATTAGTTTATGCTAGCAAAGAAGTGGCATGAAATTTGAATATGCTCATTCAAACAGTGAGCAAAAGACACACATGAAAGCATTGTTCAGAACGGATGGACCAGGCTATACAGTAAGCTTTGGCAAAGCCTTTTGCTAAGCCCGAAACGAAACGCAATTCAAACATTTTTGAAAGTTTGACGAAAAACACTCTAATGTACGTCTAACCAAATATTAACGGGGCGTCTGTTTGTAAGTCTATATTTGAACTTGAATGTGTCATTTTGACTTTGCACCACAGTAGATTTAAACTTCTGCACCTCATTCTTGTTGTTGAAAATGCTGTTTGCTGTATCGGGAGTTTATCAGCAGTTCAAATGCATCAATACACGAACATGACATTCATGCCTCCAAAGGCTGCTTGGTAACATCTGATCAGAGCTGCAGCTGTGACTCCGTCCTCCTTAGCGGCTGTAAATAATGTCGTTATCTCTGTCTGCAATGCAACCAGCATCCATCCCCCCGCCTGTGCTGTCCGTGCTTGCAAACTGTGTCTTCTGGCTATATATACATATAAATATACATATTTTATTTATCCGCCCCCATCAGAACTCTTTTACGTTTTAACCCTCCTGCTGCTGTTGATTCCCGTAGCACAGGTGCAGCCGTGAACAGCAGCGAGAGCCTCCCTCCCTCCTCCTCTATCAACGACATCTCCTCCATGTCCACCGACCAGACCCTGGCTTCAGACACTGACAGCAGCCTGGAGACCTCCGCGGGACCCCTGGGGTGCTGCAGGTGACTATCCGCCTGCCTGCGCAACCCCATGTTCTTCCGGAGGTGAAGAACCCAACAGATATGACCGACGAAATTGAAATGATGTTTAAAAAAAAAGGAAAAAAAAAAGAAAAAGAAAAGAAAGAAAAAAAAAGAAAGATCAAAATGAATATATTCTGAACAAAAACATAAGCTATTGAAACGCAGTCTGACATGATGAAACCCAAAGCCTGTGCATTGTCATTCAAAAAGCAGCAGTGGCATTAAACTGAAGATAATGAGCTGAGATATATGTTACTGATCCTCTAGTTGCTTTGCTTATAATCCCTCGCCCCGGAAACACACGCACACGCACACGCACGCGCACACACACACACACACACACACACACACACACACACACACACACACACACACACATCTTGTATATGGCATCCAAACAAACAAACAAACAAACAAACAAAAAAAAAACCCTGCGCCTCCTGTAAAATGCATTTTGGCCGGCTGCTGGTTTCTCCTAATTACTTCCACAAGCATCCGTGGCTAATCGTTGTGGCAAGGTGGGCTGCCATTGTCTTCATCGCTTTTGGTTACAAAATAAATTTCCCTTTTTTTTTTTTTTTTTTCCTGCATTCAGCTTTGAACCTCAACTCATTTCCTGAGTCGCTCCCACCCAACATGAGTTTTGAAGTGTTACTTTGCCTGTACCGTTTACTGGGTTTTGTACATCTTCAGGGAATGTGCAGTCGCTCTCACCCGCAGCTACTTGTAAATATTGTAATTCTGTACAGCTGAAGGGCAGACAGATTTGGGACTGAAGGCCAGTACACCGGGAGTTTTTTTTTTGTTTTTGTTTTTTGTCTGACTAGCCTTCACCTTGCCACATTACTTCTCTCCACCTCGGTTGCCCCTCTGCCTAACGCTGTAGTTGTGCATGATTAGATTAAGACTGCGCAAATCACACTGTATGCTAGAGAGAGAAGAAAAAAAAAACAGTCTGTACAGAGACTTGTATTCATGTGCTATGTAAACTAACTCCACCACATACATTAGGAGGCGGGGTCTGGTCTCAGTACGACAGAAAAGATGGTAAAATCAGGATTGAAATGATCGGTGTTCTCAGAAATAAATTAGACTGGTGAGTAATCTCCATGCCATTTCCCCTGGCGGCGTACAACTTGTCCCGCCACCACCCCGTGGGCCGACCCACGGCGTTGCATGTCACTGTGTAAACCATCACGGTTGGAAGAAGTGGAAATGTTTCACTGCGGTTCAACCACAAAAAGGCTTCTTCCAATTATTTGACTCCTTAAACACCATTCAGCGAGACAAAGGTGGAACAGCAGGAAGGTTTATGGGCAAACGAGGAGTGTTAACTTTGAAGCTGTGACTCCACCTGACAAATAAACAGGCTCTTATTGTCACCGCACGCTACACCATCACGCTTTAAAGAGGCAGCTGGATAGGATTCAACTGCCATATTTCCTGACTGGATGGTATTTAGGCTGGATGGCTCATCTGTTTATTTATACCAGTGGGAGGAATCTGAATATGGCTAGTTTATTTTGGAGTAAAGGACTGCAGCTGCACCAAAAAAGAAGAAAAAGGAAAAAAAAAAAAAGTCCCTAAACCACAGTTTGGTGAAAGGATGTGGGAAGGCCTTGTTTAACCTCCATCTTTTTTTTTTTTTTTTTTCCAGGATGCCTCTGGTTATTTAGCCAATCAAACTGTGAGCTCTTTTTGCTCTTTTTTCAGCTTCGTCTCCGACGCACGCACAGTTGTCGCATCGTGAGTCTTTAGAGATGTAGTACTTGCTCTGTACCGTTCAGCCGCACCCTGCTACATTCATTACCTGAGTGAAGTTGGCCCCCCCACCTTCTTCAAATCAGATGAAATGGGTGTCAAATAACTCGACTACGTTTGCGCAGGAAAAAAAATAAAAAAATTGTTTGTGCTGCTTTGGCTTTGACGATATTAATGAAAGGTTAAAGCCTCTCCACTTTTATGAAATCAGACAAAGTTGGTGAACAGGAATTTAGCTTCTTATGATATTAAGAATATTAATAAATATCCAAAGTGTCAATGATGAAATTGGGTTTATTTAATATTGAGGCAAAATGGCAAATTATTTAACTTCAGTACTTTAATGGGTTCTGAATATTGTCCCAGCAGTGGCAAATGGGGATCCTAACATGCAGACAAACAAACTAAATGTGCCCAAAAGCATGCTGTTTCTTGCTATGGTTACATTAGGATTCTTTTTGAAATTTTGTTTCTCTGCTAGCATAGCGACCCACCAAGGTAACTGTTAACGCTCTCTTCATCACAACCTCGTTTGAACTGCATGGTGTGAACTAAGCCGATTGAAAACTCCTGGCTCAAGCCGTCGTTTGTTAAATAAATTGTCGAGATAAAAAAGGCAGCAGGGTGTCTCCGCTATACATATCGTCACAAACTGCACATGTAACAGCAGAGAGGTGTGGAGAATTGCTGAGTTGGTGGCATCTGCCTGTGTGTAGTCTCAATCTCAGCAGTACGACATGTAATTGTTTTCCTGCAGTCGATCCACAACATTGTGCACATACAAAAATCCTGACTTGGAACAGCTACTTTGTTAACACTCCTGACGCCAGCGCAGTGCAGACACCACAGAGAAGAGGGCGACTGAGGTTGGCGTCTCCAGAGTAAGCTACGACTAGCTTGGCTTTCTGTTCAGGGTCTGGGGTCAGGGCAATCCTTCAAAAACAGGGTGCGACTTTGAAATGTTTTGTGTTTTAAAATGTTCAAATACATTTTTTTTTCACCTACAGGAGTTTCCACAGCTTGAGTTGGCTCCTTTATACCACAAATACACACAGTAGTGTTACAGTTTTTCTACAAGGCATTTTTGAACCATGTAAAACACTCTTGTTTTTTGTTGTTGTTGTTGTTTTTCCGTATCTTGACATGTTCCCGGTCGCTTAGAATATAGAAATACTGACACATCTTAATGTCTTTTTTTCACCCTCCCCCCTCATTTCTGAATGTGAACTGTTCATCTTTTTTATTCAACATCCCTCTGGACAGTTTTCTTGTGATTAAAGGTGCTTTTGATCCTGGTTAATGTGCCTGAAGAAGAAGAAGAAGGTTTGTTTCCCCCCCCCCCCAACACCGAATGTAGAAACAGAGTTTCACAAGCATGCATGTCATTGTCCTAAAATTTGACCAGCAAAAAAAAAAAAAAAAAAAAAAAAAAAAAATAAGAAAAATTTAAAGTTGTGACCTGATCTGGACTTCTACTGCAGCTGTTTCGAGAATGTCAAAGACGAGCTCAGCTGTGTGTTTGGGAAGTTGTTTGTGCGTCTCTTGGTGTTCAGTCACATTAACCAACGGATTCAAAAACTTTACTTGTCAATCATGATCCAGATTTTTGCGGAAATATTTCAGAGTGATCTCTTGTGTGTTCAGAATCAACGTGTATGTCTCTCAGACTTCTATCTGTACTCTGAGGATTGCTGACCTTTCATTTAGCCATAACATTGCAAATACTAAAAAAAAAAAAAGAGAAGAGTACACGTCACAGGTTAGGATACGTCTTGTAGTAGTGATCCCCGACCAACTGATTTTCTTTCTCACAAGCTCAACTGTAAATAATAACACTCCAAAAAATAAAAAATAAAAATAAAAAATGCAATAAACATTTTTATTGCACTCAAACAGGGAGGCAAGCTACTGCGAGGGTCAGGCGAAGTGTCTCCAACAAATGAAAACCCTGTATAGCTCATCTGAATCAGGTGATGTTGTTCTTCGGTTCTTTTCCGACTCCTTCTCTTTTGATTCTTTTTGCTCCGTGCTGTTTTAAACAAGTCATTCTTTTTGACATTGTCAGGTTAAAAAATAAAAATAAAAAAAAAAGACGAAAAGAAACTGTATCTGTTTCACGCCGATCTCAAAGCTTCAGAATATAGCGTTTCGAGTAAAAGTCAAAATTAACGCAAACGAAAACAGAACAAAACAAACAGAAAAAGATGAAAAAAAAATATTGAAAGCTGTTACTGTAAACACAACATTTTAAAGGAACTGTGTATGTACAAATAGTATATGTATGTGATTGAAAATAAAGAAAACCTTTGATCTTGGACTATGGTTGATTTTTTTTGTTGTTGTTCTTTAATGTAAGTCTTTCATATGAAAAGTAGTATCATGCATGTTGTCTGGCAGAATCTCCTAAACTGTTATTGCACAATAAATACACAAAGCAAAGGGATTTTATTCCTTAGTCTTCTAGTGTTCTCTTATTAAGTTAGCAGACAAGTTTCCATGCCGTCTCCTGGGATTCCTGGAAAAGTCAATATAGTGTAAAGTTGTTAGAAGTGCCACATGCAATCGCTTTCACTTCCTCAGCATCAAACAGTGCTGCATTGGTGATTAGCAAGCATAATGGGGTGCCAATTTTCAATATTTACATTGGGAATTAGTTTTCAGTTAGCGTATCATATCATCAAGGCAAGTGCAATAACTTTTAAAAGAAAAGCATGTACATCACCTTGGAATGGAATAGACATGTTGAGTCACATTACCCTTGAGGGTGTGAAGGATTTGTGAGAAATGGATTAGGGTGAGAAAGTATTTATATACATTTTTATTATTTGCTTCAATCCCTCATGTCAAAATCTAATAAGAATCTTTAGTATTGGTGATAAAAATGTATATGCAATAAATATACTTCCTGTGTTGCTTGATTAATAGTTCTGTAAATAGCTAATGTCCTGATTTTGTTTTATTAGCGAAGTTACATAAAAATAATAAGGTGTGCACTGCATCCTTTTCACATTTTAGAGCTTCTGCCTTTGTGACACAGCACCATTTTTCAAATTTCACTTATATATATATATATATATATATATATATATATATATATATATATATATATATATATATATATAAAATAGCCAAGTAGCATCCAACTCTAAGTCTTCTAGTTATAAAAAAGTAAACATTTATTCTTTGAAAGACACCCAGAAGTGACACAAGACTCACAGGAAATGCATTTTTATTTATAATGTCATGTCTTTTCAAGGTTCTTTTGAACATCAAGTATCACTTCTTGCATGAGTTTCAGTATCCGCCATCACCTCAGTCCATTATCTGCTCTTTGCGTGGAATTCACAGAGTGAGGTGGCACCAGTCAGCTGGGCTAAAGCCTATTATTTCCCGACGAAGAGTGTGAAGTGAGAAGCGTAGAGTCCCCTCTCTTTATTTGGTTGTCCAGGCACTTTCTTTTCTCTGTGCACACATTCCGGATGTCCTGCAATGACCAGCAGCAGGTTTAAAATGGGGAACAACCTCTGGTGGAGAAGCGTTAAGCGCGTTCACGACTCACACGACCGGACTTGTACCCATTAGCAAATCCACACCGTGTGCAGACGTTTGGTTTGAAGCTACATACATTACACTTGGTGAATAGAAAAAGTCACTAGACGCATATTCGGTTATTGTACACAAACCCCTGGTGAACCCCATGCACCTTCATGCGTTCGTCACCTGCCAGTAGATTTAATGTCGTTGGTGCTGATGAAATTCTTGCTCCAGTCAGATTTTTTTTTATTTTTCACAGTTAAAAACAGTTGTGTTGGTAATTATCCAGCTGCACCTTTTGCGCTTGTGCTGTAGGTTAGGATAAAAATCACCTGATGGATGTTTATATACAATCGTCTTTTACAACTGGCATCTTAGTCAATCAGTTTAAATCAGAATTTGCTACATATCTCTTGAAGTGAAAAGGTATATTTTCTCCTCAAATTCGGTATTCTGGACAAATTTTTATTGCCTACATGTCTGACAGTGCCAGTCAGATGTTTACACTCATTACGGGCGTACATCTTGTATTAAGTGTGGGGCCCCTAATGATGTTTTTTTTTTTTTTTTACAGTGTTCTATCACAAAGGTGGAATGATTATCTAGCTTGAAACTCTACTAGTGCATGTACAACTTTTAATTTATTGTGAATTTCCTTCACTCCATGTCAACATTATACATAAAAGCTTCGAAATATACCACTATAAGCAAGTTGAAGCATTGTTTTATCAGCACGATATTGGCATTGACAGAAGCTTGTTTTCTACAGAAAAATTTACCGAGGCTTGTTGGATAATCGTTCCACCATGAGGAAGGATTAATTCAAATCCATCATTAAAAGCCCAAAAATGAATATGCCATGCTTGGTCAACGATGAGCGCAAGTAAACTTCTAACTGGCACTTTATGCAACTGACCCAATTGTGCCAGGCTTAAATTGCATTTTCTTTTAAAGCTACAAAACCTCCATTTGAACTGCTATCATGCCATTTAAACAACAATCAAAACCACAGTGCAGACTAACAAGTAGTGTCTTCAACCACCTAGCAAAAAAATAAAAAATAAAATTTACAGAAAGGTTCTCTCTTTTTTTTTCCTTTTTGGTCATGAGTAAATGTAACTACACAGAAGTACAAGCAAATACACAATGCACTCACCAGTTTAACATGGTTTGCAGGTTGACTGACAGAACATTCAGTACCAACTGGAGGAGGCTGGACAAACATAGAAGTGCAAGGACAAAAAACAATCCTGATATAAAACATGTCACCATGACAACTTTGCTTAAATATCACGGACATTTAAGTGGCGGATTCAGTTACAAACATTTGACTGCAGTCGTCTGCGTCATTTCCCCCCTATGAACATGAGCCCACGCAGAATGACACAACAGGGCAATAAGAAATGAATAAAACTGGTGAGGAGCATCACTTGATTATTTTTAGGTCCACGATTGAGGTTTTTTTTTTTCTCCATGTTTTTTTTTT